GGGCGCTCCATAATACGGCCCCTCGTTAGGGCCGTGCGGCGCTAATTGTCTACACTGCGATGGAGGGGCAAAGCGCATGTCACATTAGATGCGCTCAGTGTCCTCGCCGCCGCGGAGCGAGCGCAAGGGCGTCATCGGGGAGGTGCTGCTAGTAGCTGCCGTGGAAGAGCGGGGCAGGGGGAGGGCTGCTTCTCTCGAAACTCGACGAAAACTCGATTTTTTATTCGTCGTGTCTTGCCCGGTGGCGGCGAGAGTAAAGTTTTGACGCCATAAGCTCGCTCAGGGCGGCACCCCGCTCCGCCGCCCCGCCGCGCCACGCCCTGTGCCGGAGCAGCGCCAGCAGGCAGACCATTCATAACCAACTTTTCAGGGGGCGTTTCACGAGGAAAAGTTGGGGGCGGTGCCTCGTCCCTCTGTATAGCGCCGGGCTCCACCCCCGCGGCGCCCCGTTGGGCGGCACCGCCGCGCTGGCGGCCTACCTCCGTCCTGCGCGGGCGGCGGCGGGGCCGGGGAGACAGGTGTCATGACGTTTAAAAAGCGTTAATAAGCGGCGCCGGGCCGTCCTGTGTGACACCGCCGCGCTGCGCCACGCCCGTTCTTGTTTTTTTTTTTCGGGATGGAGCTGTTTCGGGAGCTTCACCCACTTTTTATTTTCCCTTCCCCTCCTCCCCTCTCTCCCGCCGCAAGACGTAATTGTGGCGATTACTTCCTTATTATGTGCGTAATGACGGTGTTTCACTGTGCGCCCCCCTCTCCCCGCTACGCCCCGCCACCGCTGCATATCGCGCGCCAGATCTCCAAGCGGTACGGCGCCGGCCGCGGCGTGGCGTGGCGTGTCCTCTTGGAGGAGAGGATATTCACTTAGCCCAGCCTTGATATTATTATTATTTTTACTACGATTTGCTTTCGCTGGCCTGGGCTGACCTGGCTGCAAGGCACCTCTTGGGGGGCAGGAGGAGGATGTGTCATGCAGGTGGGCGATGTCCTACATCCGCAGCAGCAGCAGGGGCACACGGCCGACCGCGGGAGGTACCTGCGGAGCGATACCCGCGGGAGGCGCCTGCGCCTGCTGCCGGAGGGCGCGGGGCCGCCGCAGGGCGGGCCTCCCGTGTTTTACGACATCCGCAGCCACATCATCAAGCAGGTTGTACAGCGGAGGATGACCCGCGGAGCGCGGTAGCAGCTCGCGGTAGCGACCGCACATGTGTGTGCGAGTGTGCTCGCCCTCTCTCTTGCACGCACACGCTTGAGCAGACCACCTTCCAGTACTGTATACTACCTCTACCCGCTCGCCCGGGCGGGCGCCTCGACCCACCGCAGGGCCGGGAAGGGAAGGGGGGCGGGGCGCTCACCGCAGGGAACATGTTCATCACATCGGGAATATGAAAGTTTAGCGGTGTGAAGAACGTGTTTGTCTCGGTGTTTGGTGTGTCTGTGTGTGCGCAGTTTAAAGTACGGATTTTTCATCGGGTGCGCTCACAGCTGAAGCGTTTAAAATGTCCGTAACAGTCGTTATCAATGTGAGTGGTTTCAGGAGAGTTAGTGGTGACGTGAGGTGAGGTGCACTAAATTCGCTCCTTTACCGGTCTAAGTGCTCTCATGCAAATCCGCACACCTACAAGTGCGCGACAAACACACAAACTTTGGTTTTTATATAGTGTATAATGACGGCACTGGTAAAACGAGTGTTTATAATGTTAAACGCCAATTGGTGTTGAAGTTCAAGTTTGCATTTTCTCAACACATTGTGGTGTTTAAACTCTTTAAACTCACTTCCGAAAAGGGTATCAGCTGGACGCCATATGGTTCCTGTAGATTTGCGTGTGTCCAAGTGTGCAGAATTTAAAAGTTTACAAAACGTTTATAGAGTGCACACCACTCAAGTGTGCAGCTTGAGTTAAACACCTGTAATGTTTAAAATCATAACTTGCACACGTTGGTGTTAAAATTGCGCACACTTATTTTACCAGAGGGCGCGCGGCGGCGGCTTGCTCTGCTTGTCACGATCGAGGTCCAAACACCCTGGTGCACCACGCTGGTGCTCGCCGGAGCGCTAGGCCCGCAGCTGCAGCTGACGGGATGCGTTTGTTTTCGACGGTTCGGCACGCGACCACAGCTGCTAACGAGGCGCCCCCGCCGTGACAGACACGCGCACCTCGTTGGCGCCTGGCGACTTGTCACGTTGTCTTCTTACGCTTCGGTATCTTCCCTGTTTTTTTGTCTTATTTTTTTCTCTAGTGTTTAAGGGGGAAGCAGGGGGGAAGGGGGCTCTTATGGTGTTAAACTTGACATGTTTCTGCTCCCCGTTTTAGAGGACGGGGCGCAAGAAAATTAGTCTTCATTTGCATGATGGCCTGTTTCTCGGTTTCTCGTCTGTCTCTGTCTAGAGTGAGGCAAAAGAGGGAGAGGGAAAGGAGTTGTGAGGGGAGGGGAGAGGGGGCAGCCAGGCGCGCCCGAGGTATGCAAAGCGCTTTGCTCCTATAACCTGACCAACACGCGACCCGACCGGATTCAAGTTAAATGTGGGTGTGTGTGTG